CACCACCACCGCCACCACCAACAGCACTACACAACCACCACCACCACCACAGCCACCACCACCACCACAACCACCACCACACCACCAAAGGCGACGACGCGCGAGGAGTTCGGGAGGCCTGCGAAACTTTTCGGCGAGGGCGACAGCATTGCAGAATGACGGGCATTTTTCCGTTGCAGCAAATGCCCCCTTTCCAGGGATGCCGCTGCCACCGCGGAACGGTGGGGCCCAGGGGGGGGGGGCATCGGGCAGACAAACTAAGTGCGCCTGCGCAACATCTGGCATCGTACCCCATCCGCCCCATCATTCGCAGTTGCGTTTGCATGCCTCGCTGCGCGCCGAGACGGCATTAAGATCGGGGGCCGACCCCTGACCGGCACTAGAAGACTTGCTTAGTCGTACATTCGCACGTTGCGCAACTGGGCACGTTAGGACATGGGGCCAAAACACCGCACAGACTGCTCGGGCGACGTCTGAAAAAAAAAGAAACCAAGCACAACGACGCCATTCCGACATGAAAACACAGCGGATCGTGATGTCAACGCGCAAGAAGGGGAGACACGTGAACGAGGTCGAGGAGAAACGAACGCGCGTGTGAACCAGAAGGATCAAAGCTGCGAGGACAAATACAAACAAAAACACGAGGGCGAAACTGACGGATCATAGCAGCGACGACTTTCCGTCCCAGGCCGATCGTCAGAGTCGGCCACTGGCTCTTGGAGGCCGAAGCCGAAGAAAAGTGCCTCGAAATAGGATCGCTTCAACCTATCCCAAAAAACGGAAATCCACAACGGTGGCGGCGACTACGTCGCCGTCGCCGTCGTCGACGCGGCCCCGCGCTGGCCGCGCACCGCCGCGCGCCAGCCCCGAGGCCAGCGCGGGGGGCGCGGCCCCCGCCGCCCGCCGCGAGCCGCCCCGGCCGAACGCCGCGCATCTGCGCGCGAAGAACCACGCGCGGACAGGCGGTGAACTTTTGCGCCAGATCTGGGGAGCGAGAGCTGCGCGCACGAAAAATCGGCAAATTTCTGCGGGGCATGAGCGCGGTGCACGCCGCGGCGAGAGCGCCCGTCGGAACGGCCGGCGACGCTTCGACTGCCAAGCGCGCGCGAAAGCTCTCATTCGGAATGTTGCTCGCGCCAACCATGGCGCGGAGGAGACGAGACGTCCGCGAGGCAGAATCAGGGGCGAACGGGGCGCGGCTCTTACTTCAAGAATGTGTCATAACAGCACGCGGTGGATGGGGAGGCGAAGGACGAGGGGCAGCGGGGGGGATGCGCGGAGGGAAGGATATGGGGAAGGAGGAGGATCAGCCCCAGCGCCCACTTTATGGGTAGTGTTCTGGTAGCGCGGCGGCGACAGATCGCGGCGTCACAAATGGGACGCAGGCGACCGAGTGGCCGTGAGGGGCGGCAGCTGCTCCATCCTGCCGCCCCCGAACTTCGTTTTCAAGGCCGCCGCCGCCTGCCTCCTGTCGCACGCCCAAACGGCGTGGGCCTGGAGCAGCGAATGCCTCTCGCGCTCGGGCACGCGATTCTGGCGCTGGAATCCTCAACAAACTTAGATCGGCGCGCTTGCGTTGCAGCCCATCATGCCGAAGCGAATGTCTTGGAAATTCCCCGGTGACTTTCGAATGAATGTCTAAAATGTTTCCACGATTATGTCCACGGGACAGCGATCCGCATGAAACTCTTGCGAAATCGGAACCGTGAAGTTCCCGTGAATTTCCGGTGAATTCGGGCGGTTTTTCTGCAACGGGCGGACCCGGTGGAAGCGTAACAAGGCTTTCCGAAAAAAAACTCCGGGGCCACTCCTGGAGGAAGGCGGGGCGTGAGAGGAGGAGGGAGGGGCGGCCCGAGCCCCGCGACACGGTCGCGGCCGCTAGTTTGGCCCAGCATCACCCCGAACGGCCGCGCAACACCCTTTATGTAGAGGGGCGGTCTACGCAAATGCCTGGAACTCACTTGGGGGGGGCGAGTATGGAAGCGTACTTCATCGCGGCGCGCGGGCTCCCTTTATCCTCCCCACCCCCCCCTCGTGATCATTCCTTCTCCCCTCTTCCTCCCCCCCCTTTGCGTTTTCCAGCAAATGCTCACGTCCTCCTCCTCCTCTTCCTTCCCCCTCTTCGTCTTCCCACTTTTTGTCCGCCAGGCTTTTTTCGGCAGTCCGATGCCGTTTTTTTTCCCCCGTCATCCCCTTGTTCCTCCTGCTCACCTTTCCTGCAAATGTCCCCGCCCCCCCCCCCTCGCCATTAACCCCATGCCCCCGAGAATAAACCCCCAATAAAGTTCGGCGGTTACGGGGTGATAATAAAAGTTGCCCACCAGAGGCCAGCATAAAGATGTTGAGGAGCCAAAGCCAAGATTTAGACACATATGAACAGAGAGAAAGAGAAGAAACAAGCAGGAGAAGGAGAGGAGGAGGAAACAACAATCCACAATTCAAAACCTATTAGATTTTATGTGTAAGCGCTTAACGGAAATGAAGCTGCTCATCTGCTCGTGTAGGGTAGCTCATCTGCCTCGCTTTCCCAGGATAGTCAACCACAACGATGAAACAGTTCAGGGGGGCACGGAAAGAAGGAGAAAGGTTGAGAGAGAGAGAAAGAAAGAGAAAGAGAAAGAGAGACAGAGGACAGATAGAGAGACAGAGAGAAAGAGAGAAAGAGGTTGATAAGGAAACAGAGAAAGATACATACATATATATAGAGAGAGAGAGAGAGAGACGGAGAGAGAGAGAGAGAGAGAGAGGAGAGAAAGATGAGAAGGAGGAAGCAAGCATCCAAAGTTCAAAACATTAAGATTTTCATCTGCTCGTGTAGGGTGGCTCATCTGCCTCGTCTCGAGTATATGCTTGTTCCGCTTGAGACATCCTCGACAAGTTCCTCGATTCGCTTGAGACATCCTCGAAGAATTGCTGGTTCCGCTTGAGACATCCTTGAAACAGTGGTCGTTTCGTTTGAGACTGCCTCCCAAAATTGTTGGTTTCGCTTGAGACATCCTGAAAAAGCGTGTTCGCTTCGCTTGATGCTGCTATCTCAACGTAAGAAGGAAGTAACCTCGATGGCGAACTTTTCACGGTGATAATGAAGTTCGGCCTCCGCGCCCCGCGTCCCCAACCAAACTCTTCTTGGCCGTGGATAATCAACTCTTATGTGTATAGGGGGGGGGGTACTTTATTATCGTGGGTGTGGGGTTATTCCTCAATGTCCCCCTCGAAGCAGAAACGGGCGAACGCGACCGCCGGCGCCCCCGGCCACACCGCGGGGCGCCAGGACGTTTTGGCATCCGCATTATCCGACGCTTCCGTTACTGGTGACATCCCAGACGAAACAATAGTTTTCGAAGTAATCCCGATGCCGCGAAACTCCTAAGCATCTCCATATTCTGAGGACCTCTGCAGCGAAACCTGCGCGACAAAAATAATGGCATATATTGATCACATGCGTAAGTTCTCAATGGTGTCACGATGGTTAAACCTTTCCCTAAAAGAATGTCCACGTCGCAACACCACAGATTAATAGCATGCGGGCGCGCGAATCATCGACACAATCATTAGTCACTGCCAAAAAAAAGAAAACGGAATGCAGCTGCCATGCCACGTTTGACATCCTACGCCGAATGCTCGACACCCTGAGTCAAGGGCCACAAAGGCGGCAAACAAAGGACCTCCCTTGGCCCACGTCCAGATCAGCGAAATAATATTTTGAACCCAATCGAAGAACAAACAAATACGGTTACCAAACTGGCGCGCCTCACCCCATCATACTCGCGAAACTAGCATTGGACGCGGCATCAAAACGCCACCATCGAACGTGATTTCGGGCACGAGACGGCTTCGTTGGCACTGCCCGACAAGAGCTGCAATTTGCGCGTTAGGATATAAGTTCCGCCAGCGCGCAAGCTGCAAGTCTCCATTCGAAACCCAAATGATGACGCGAACGAATCGAATAATATTGCGTCGGCGACGAGGGCAACACATAACAAATTGCCCCACACAAGATGCAACAACACACATCTTCAAAACTACTAAATGTGAAAATTCATCTGCGGGCTTGGCCAACCTGGCAAATGCGCTCGAACACGAACCGTGCTATCATGCAGTGGGCAAGTTCAAGCGAGCAATACACAAGAAAGCGAAGGAACCGAACAGAAGGAATGAAAGCAATGGCAAGGAAACGGGGGGCGTCGCCACAGCGGCAAAGCGAGCGGTCATCGATGACACCGTGGGCGTGAGAAGACAAGCGAGCACAACATCACTCAGGAGAAAGGGGAGGAAGAAAGGGGACACGCACTTCGGCGGCGAGCACGGGGGGGAAGCGAGAAGGGGCGGGCCTTCTCAGAAGGCTCGGAAGGCCTCGGGCCTTCTGAGACATTTTCTGAGTCTTCCCCGAAGACGTAAGAGATCTCTCAGGAGGCCGGAGGGCCTCTGAGAAATCCCGCCGCCTTCTGGGAAGCCGCAGCAGCGCACGCAAAGAGGCTGCGGACCCAGCTGGGCGGAGAGAGCGGGAGCGCGCAAGGCCCTCACGCAACTGCCGGGCGGGATGACGCAGGGCTCACCCCTAGGGAGCAGAGAGGGGGCACGGAGCCGTTTCCCTCGGCCGACGCGGCGAGCCAGCCGCGTGCCAAACGACGGTCCTGCGTCGAGAGACACCGAGCTGCGCAGCACGCGCACAGCACGCGCGACACTGCGCGCACACCGCCAAACGCGCTGCGCGCCAGCGACAACACACAGCACACGCAGCGCACGCTACATAGCTCACCCAACGCAGCACGATAAAGACACACACACAAAAGGCACACCAACGTGTTAGAGTGCCTGTGCGGCCCAGCCCGCTGCTGTCGTGTAGTTTTCAAATGCGAGCCCCTCACGGATTTCGTTGCATAAAACATTGCTTGTCCACCTCACGGCTTCAGGATACAGCATACAATAGGGAGTAAACGTGAATACCAAGCACTGCACGATCTGCTCGAATTGTAAGTTGCCAGGTATGTAAGTAATTTGTGGTCTCATTCGCTGCCTTGACTTCGCTTTCTCCATTTTGGGTCGTTTAATAGTGTCCCTGGCCCAAGGTGTCCACAGGATTTCCCCGAACGCCTCAGAGGCCCCAACATGACGCGAAAAGCTGGAGACGCCTTGGGCCAGGGACACATTTGGCACCCCGCGACCCAATGACCATCCACGAAACCTTGGTGGCTGCTGTCTTTCCGCCGCGCTCCGCCGTGCTCGACGGACACGTGCCCCCGACTCATAGTGATGCTGCGCCACACAGAGTTCCTGACTCAGGGAAGTCCTGTTGCCCCAGCCCTGGCGAAACTGGTGACTCAGATACACGCCGGTCGGAAGAAGTGGGTAGAATCATGCAGTAGGAAGGCGTTGGAAATAGATTGGGTTTCCGCCCGCCCCTGGAGGACAAAGGAAGAGGGAAAACCGCTCGACTCTTGAAGTAGGAAGGCGGCTAAAGTAGACTGGGATCTGGGCATCCAGACATACCTATGTTCAACGACCAGCGTGTAGTCCTGTTGCCCCAGCCCTGGCGAAACTGGTGACTCAGATACGGTACTCCCGCCCTTCTCAGCGAAACGCCGCTCTCGCCTCACCTCGGAGGCGTGCCGAGGGGGGAAGGCAGCGAGGGCGGGCCTCCCCCCAGAAGGCTCAGAAGGCACCCGGCCTTCTGAACAACCTTCTGCGCCCAAGCCTCCTCCGAGCCCCGCAGCAGGAGAGCCGCCGAAACCGCTCCGATGCCGCACGCTCTCCACGAGAAGGCGCGGCGCGCCTCTCGGGCCTCCACGGCCTGGGGAGCACCCCGCCGCCTCAAAACCGCGCGGGCTGTGCGCGGCCCCGGCCGCCGCCCTGCAGCAGCTGGGGCGCAGGCCGCCGCCGCCGCGCCTGGGGCCGCAGCCCTCGTCGTCGCCGTCGTCGTCGTCGTCGTCGTCGTCGTCGCCGTCGTCGCCGTCGTCGCCGCCGTCGTCGCCGTCGTCGCCGTCCTCGTCGTCGTCGTCGTCGTCGTCGTCGTCGTCGTCGTCGTCGTCGTCGTCGTCTGCGTCGTCGCCGTCGACGCCGTCGTTCGTCGCCGTCCTCGCCGCCGGTCGCCCCCGCCGTCGCCGCTGCCCTCGCTCTCTCGACGCTCCCGCTGAAAGCAGGTTGGATCTCCGTCCGCCCCCTGAAAGAGGAGGGCAGAGGGGAACATGTTCGACTCTCGAAAAAAGAAGGCGCCGAAAGTAGATCGGGATCTGCGGGTTCAAATATTACCCACTCTCTACGACCCACGGGTGAACCCTCTGCCTGCCTTCGTCGCCCCTCCCCAGCCGCGCCGCCTCGTGCCGCCACCTTCCCCATTCCCTCCCCTCCCTCAATCCATTCCTCTCCGTCCAACTCTCCGGGGACTCCCTGGAGAAAGGGGGCACGGGAGGTGAGCGGAGATCCCAGGTCCCTCTCAGACCCCCTCTCCCCCTCCTCCTTCTCTCCCTCCTCCCCCATCTTCCTCCTCCACTTCCTCCTCCCCCCGTATCTTCCTCCTCCTCCTCCGCCTCCGCCTCCTCCTCCTACTCCTCCTCGTCCGGGCCGAATCTGGCCGGACCTTTCCCAAAGCTCTATCCTGGCAAGCTCTTCCACCCCGGATCGATTCTCCTGGCCCCAGGGCCAGAATCTGTCCTGGGGAGGCCGAAACCGAAAATGACCTCCGCCGTGATGTTTCCTCCTCGTCTGTCTCCTCCCCTCTCCTCTCTCCTCACTCTTCCTCCCTCCCCCCTCCCTCCCCCCCTCCCCACCCGACATGTCGCATGCCATAATAGGGGGGGCAAGCTGGCTACAGCCCAGCAAGAGTCGAGGCACAGGGTGGCGCCGCTCCCCGGGCCCCCCCCCGCGCCACGGCCCGATGCCCACCCAGTGGCGTGGCGAGGCGGGGGGGGAGGGGCGACGGCCTGCTCCGCTCCCCCATCACTGGTTGCACGGGGTGCACAACGGCTGCCCGCGGCAAGCCCGTCACTGCTTCCTCTTCCTCCTCCTCTTCCTCCTCCTCTTCCTCTTCTTATTTCTCTTCTTCTTCGATTCTTCACAGGTTGAGAATGTAAAGGTCCATCCTCGTCCGAGACGCGGGGTAGCACCGCCCTCGCGACGCGGCAACGTGGCTGGACCCCCTCGCTGGCGCGGCTGGGACTCGCCTGCGCCGCTCCTCCCCTCACTGGTTGTACGGGGTGCACAGCGGCTTGCTGGGGTCGATGCTGGCGTTCGCCACCACGAGCCCCACGATCAGGCCGTACAGGCCGAGGGCCTGGCCCCGACGCAGTTCCCCCTGATTGCCCTTCGTGCGCGCGTGCGTGCGAGCGTATGTCTGTGTGTGTGTGTGTGGTGTGTGTGTGTGTGTGTGTGTGTGTGTGTGTGTGTGTGTGTGTGTGTGTGTGTGTGTGCGTGTGCGTGTGCGTGTGCGTGTGCGTGTGCGTGTGCGTGTGCGTGTGCGTGCGTGTGCGTGTGGTTGTGTGCGTGCGTGCGTGTGTGTATGTGCGACGGGTCATCAAGGGCGCGCGTCCCGCAACAAGTAGCTACTGACCGTGGCCTGTGCCAGCGGGGCCCACATGGGCCGCTTGGGGACCTCAGGGCAAAACCTGAAAGCACCAGCTGGACCAGAGCAACAATAGAAAATAGGATGAACCCCCAGCGTGCTCTGCCATTGCAGACACGCCCAGGGGCCTTCCTAGGGGGCCTCCCCAGGGGGGCTCATGGGGAGTGCGACTCGCCCCGCGCAGCCCGCTGGCATCGCACGGATAACCAGCGAAAAACGCGGCGACGAGGAATGCCCGGCAACCGCCGCCGCGTGCTCCCCCTCAGGAGCTCTCCCCGTAGGGGCGCCTCACGCCGACTCGCCGCGTGGGACTCACGCCGACTCGGCGGGTCGCTGCGCCAGCGGCTCCAGCGTGTTGCGCGGGACCTTGAAGGCTTCTACCGTGTCCAGCAATGCGATCACGACGAAGCCATCCCCCATGTCGTGGAGGACCTCCGCCGTAGCACCCACGCAGGCGCCCTCGGTGACCCGCACCCTCGAGCCGAAGGGCAGGGCAGCGCGGGCGGCTGGCGCCAGCGGAGGCGGAGGCGGCCTGGCGAGCCGCACGGGGAGCTCATCGGCCCAATCCTCGCGCAGCTCGCTCATGCTGTCGTTGTCGTCCGCGGCGGCGGCGGCCGCAGGCGCAAGCACGAGCGCGAGGCCCATGTTCGCATCTCCAGCTGCTGCGCCGCCGCCCACAACGGCCGCCTCCGCCAGGCATCAGCGGGGCGCCAGACCCCACGGCAGCACCAGTTTCGCCTTCCTCCGCCCCAGCCCCGCGTACTGAGGCCTCACGCGGCGCCGCCGCAGCCGAGCCCCGAAGGCGGGATCAGGCGGGGGGTCCTCTGCGGGCGGTTCGGGGGCCTCGCCGTCCATCTCGACGTCCGCCTCGGCCGCGCCGCGACCGCGGCGCCCGCGCAGCCGCCGCCACGGAGGAGGCTCGGCGCCAGCTCGCGGGGGCGCGGCAGGGCGGCAGCGCAAGGCCGCCACCGCAGCGCGCAGCAGGCCCTCGGCTGCTCGCAGTAGGCGCACTCCCTCGAGGGAGCGGCCAGCAGCGAGCCCCGAGGCGGCGTGGGCTGCGAGGAGGGCGCCGCGGGCCGCCTCCTCCGCGCCTCGACGCCCCGCCTGCGGCGTGAACGCGCCGGGCATGGCCGGGTGCGAGCCGAGCCCCGCCAGCTCGAGCCAGCGCGCCCAGCGAACCAGGTTGAGCCGAACGGGTACCGTGTGTGTGTGTGTGTGTGTGTGTGTGCGTATGTGTGTGTGAGTGTGCGCACGCGCGCATCCTCTTCTCCGACTTTGGACGCCCTATCGATGCGCGCGGGGCCGCGACGACAACCAGTGTGTGTGTGTGTGTGTTGTGTGCGTGCGTGTGTCTGGTGTGTGCGTGTGTGTGCGTGTGTGTGTGTGCGTATGTGTGTGTGTGCGCGTGTGCGTCCAGTCGCACACGCGCGTCCTCTTCTCCGACTTTGGACGCCCTATCGATTCGCGCGCGGCCGAAACGACAACCAGTGTGTGTGTGTGTGTGTGTGTGTGTTGTGTGCGTGCGTGTGTCTGGTGTATGTTTTACACAGCACCCACACTCGAGAGCCAGGCTTGAATGTATGTTAACTCGGAGCGTGCCTATACCATAAAATCTTGATTTTAGAGTGCTGGGGGCAGGCGGGGGTAGAGCGACAACCCGAATCAAAAGAGGCCCCACAGAATATCCGACGCAGCAGCGGGAGAGACAACCCCACAGGACAGCGAGCGGCTCGAGAGGAGGGGGCACCCTCCGAAAGTATCTGTTCGCAGCGGCGGGGCCCCGTGTGAGGCCCGAAACATAAAAGGCCGAGAGGTACCTGACCGTGCCTCGGCCCACGGTCGGGCCAAAAAGCCTCGCGGCGAAACCCCCGAGCTCATACAAGCCCAAGGGTGGGCAGGGTTGGGAGCCGAAACTTTGCGCCAAGAGAGGAGGGACAAGCACGAGAGAGACTGCGCTACTCCTCCTCCTAATTTGCAGTTGAGGCGGCTATCGGAACGTTTACAGGGGGTGTGTAAAAGTGTGTTAAAAAACGCGTATTTACACAGCACCCACACTCGAGAGCCAGGCTTGAATGTATATTAACTCGGAGCGTGCCTATACCATAAAATCTTGATTTTAGAGTGCTGGGGGCAGGCGGGGGTAGAGCGACAACCCTAATCAAAAGAGGCCCCACATAATATCCGACGCAGCAGCGGGAGAGACAACCCCACAGGACAGCGAGCGGCTCGAGAGGAGGGGGCACCCTCCGAAAGTATCTGTTCGCAGCGGCGGGGCCCCGTGTGAGGCCCGAAACATAAAAGGCCGAGAGGTACCTGACCGTGCCTCGGCCCACGGTCGGGCCAAAAAGCCTCGCGGCGAAACCCCCAGTCCCGTCATCACTAGACTGGCACTTGTGCCTTCACGCTTCCAGCCACAGCTAGACACGAGCGCGGCACACATTCGGGAGGGGGGGAAAGGGAGATAATTTGTGTCGCTCTCACCCACCAAAAAACCTGCTTTATATTTTCCCCATATCTATCAAATGTTCAAGGAAGACAAGTGGAGGACAGGGTGCACGCGCCCAAATCTCGAGGCTCCTGCATTCATATCAAAAGATATGGCCCCCGCAAAAGGCGGGGCCTGAAATGAGAGTGGGGGCCGCAAAAGGCTGGCCTGCTCATTGCCGTCTGGCCCTGCTACGGCCAGCAGTGGATGGGCGGCTGGTGGGCTCCGCGCCTCCGTCCGCCATACTCTCCAGCTGCGGCAGCACGACCTCGTCGTTCTTGGCTGCCCCGAGCTCGTGCACCATGTCCCGCGCCAGCGGGGCCAGCACAGCGTCGGAACGGTAGATGGCCTCTGAGATCTGATGGGCGGGCCTGCGCCAGAAGGCCCTCCCCCGCTCAAGCTGTGCGGGGGTGAGCCGGCTCCGCTGCTCGATCAGCACGTGCACTTTCGTGTAGCGCTGAAGGGCCGACGTGGTCTGCCAGCGGCCCTTCCGGCGCGCCGCCTCGAGCGAGCCGCCAGCGGCGATGTAGGCCGCTGCCCCCGCGTGCCTCAGCGAGTGCGGGGGGCCGAAGTCCGCCAGGCCCGCTCTGTCGAAGGCCTGCCTCCACGCCTTCCTGTACTTGTCCTGCGAGATCGGGAAGAGGAGGTCCCGTGGTGCTGCGCCCTGGCCAATCGCCCGTAGGATGGCCTTCGTCACCTGCCACGAGACCACGACGCCCTGGTTCGCTCCCGTCTTCACCTTCTCGCCCCGCTCTCTGCGGCCCAAGGTGAGCCCGACTTCCCCGTCGGGGCCCACCGCCACGTCCGTCTTCCTGAGGAGGCCCCAGTCCTGCTCCCTCAGCCAGCCGTCCAGCTGCAGCAGCACCGCGGCCCCCTCGTACAGCTGGCCGTGCTCAAAGAGGTCGTAGAGCACGCGCCCCACCGCCTCGAACGGCACCGGCGCCCCCTCCTTCTGGAAGCCCATCCTAGACCAGGACTTCAGCGCCCTGGCCGCGACGGGGAGCCGATTGCGGTGGTCCTCGAAGATGTGCATGAAACCATTGAACAACGCCGACGCCCTGCCGAAGGGCAACTGCATCACGTAGCACATGTCCGAGATGTACCCGCCAAGCGCCGCATCCCTCTCCTCGTAAGTGGAGAAGGGGAGCCCGTGCCGCTTCACGTCCAGGAGGAAGGTCCTCACTTCCTTCTCGTAGATCTGATTCGTGGCGTCGTCCACTGCGTGCACCACGAGCCTCACATTGTGGTGCAGCTTGTCACTCGGGGCCTGCTCCCAGGCCCGAGCGCCCCTCTTGGCCAGAGGGGGGGGCTTTGCAGAGGTCGCAGCGGGGCCGTCCACCCCACGCCGCGGCATCGCTTCGCACAGCGTCAGCCCGCTCATGGCCATCACAAATGCGAAGCTCCAGGCGGTCCTCGTCGGGCCCGATCTTGCAGCCGCTGAAGTAGCTCCTTCGGCACCCCACGGCCCACGTGGCCCGCCACGGTGTCCTCCGCCGCGCCTATGCCTTGACCTCTCGAGGGGCCGTCTGCCAGGTTGAGCTCGCTCGGCACCCACCTGAAGTACCCGCGGATCCTGCAAACCATCTGGATGATGCCGCCGATCCTCGCCAGGTGCAAGAGGTCCTTGGCAGACGAGCGCCCCTTCTTGAGAACGCCCAAGCTCACCAACGAGTCGGTGAAGAACAGCACGCGGTGATTCCAGCTCTGGGACGTGCGACTGAGGTGTCGGAGCACCGCCACCACCGTACGCAGCTCCAAGACATTGTTGTGCTCTGCGTGAGTCCAACGTCCCTGAAACAGCACGTGCCACTTCTTCTCCAGCCAATGGCCCAGCAGAGGCAGGGCCGGCCCAGTCGCTCGCACAACGCGCCCGCGATCGCCCTGCAGGCGAAGCCGGGCCCCCGCTGGTATCGAGTCCCAGTGCGGCTCGAGCTCCTGCAGAGTGGACGCGCATGCCCTGCACAACTCCAGCGGGTAAGCACATGCCACCTGAGTCCACCGTAGTCCACCTGGTGATCGTCCTCGTAGTTCTCGGTGAGCACGGCCAGTCCGACTGCATCGGCTCGCGGGGCACAAGCACACCCGCTGTAGCGTCGCCATCTTCTTCACGTTGGTGATGAACGTAGTTGGCTTCCTCCATTCTTCGCCATACATGCAGTAATCCACCTCCACACGGAACACCCCCTCGAGATCCAAGAGCGCGGTCATTGGCGCGAACGCCCATATC